TTGCTTAATTTGCTAAAGAACAAAGTTAAAATGATACATCATGAAATCTGAAAGTCGGGTATCTGAATTGTCTTGAAGGTGCAGAAAAGGAAGACCGCGATTACGTAAAGCGGCGCGATTCTTGGTCCAAAATCGTTTCGACATCGCGAGAATATATGATGGTGGTAGTAAAGAGAACGTGCCAATTTTCCGTCGTAGAAATTGTACATACGCACGAGATAAGATATCGAGATTAAAGCGGATGATCGAATCGAAAATAGGTAAAGTGCAATCTAATCACGATATGTCCTATTTTGTTAAACGAGGGCGCAATTATCCGCTGATGAGTAATATTCATACAGCTATTTCATCTTTTGTCCCTCAGACAATTTGTACTTTACGGTGAACAATTAAACAAATGTCAAGCATATGTGCATACGTATTCACCACCGTTTAAAATAATGTAACTAGCAACCTATTTATCCACAAGAAACGTGAGAGGAAAGCTCATGTGATGATTCAAAGTATTATAAAAAGGATTATATAACAATATGATTGCGCAATAATAGGCAAGCTGTGTGCATTTCTTCTATTTGACCGTCACGATTTACGTCGATACGATTATTATCACGTCGCGCGAATAAATAATATGGTGGCGAAAAGACAATTAACATACAATATTATTGACTACGGTAAATAGTGATGTATTCATGACAGTTCAACAGTCGCGATTGTAACATTTTGTCGTAATTAATTATCCTTCTTTCGGTGTATAGTTGATGTAACCTTGAAGTACATTTTCGCTTACTGTCAATGAACCGTGGCAAATGGCCTACTTTTTATCTGCACGAAACGAATTATCGTTTTGGCCGTGTTCCGATATACACTGCCAATATTGAATCTATAGTATACGTAACGTGAATTATATTTTCAGTACTGGCAGTACAGTCTTTGTCACAGCCTTTCGCGAATTTATACTTTGTTCCGTGTCGAGCGAATTTATGGACTCTTCGAGAGAAAGGAAAAAGATCCTCCGATTGCTGTAATAATTTTTTCTACAGCTAAGTAGAACGGTTCCTTAAACACATATACTGTATTTAAACGTCACTTCCGAAACTCACTTCCGTCAATTATGCAGAGTTCTCAACAATTTCGTACGATTCTGCGATACTTTCACTATTTGCGCCAGCGATCGACGTCACAGGTACCAATAGAGAAATTATAAATTTAGACGTCAGAGCTCGGTTAACGTTTACGTATGTGTTTTTTATACGTCTTGACATTTTCCTATCCGTAAGAAAGTTCTAATAATATCCTTATACAATTTTACTTGGGGTATTAAAAATAATTGAACTTATGAATGTCAACGGGGACGATTGCAAGAGATCCTGCAATTTTAATACTTAGGTCGGTTGGTCGGTATTCATCCGTATTAAGAACATCTAAAGTAAAATCTTAAGACGCCAATACGATTCTGTGACCGGTATTTATAATTGGATCTTATATTTAAGACCATCTTAAGTGCAGTCTTAAAAAGCCAATCACAGGCTGGTATTCATAGTCGGTTCTGATTTCAATCAGAGAGCCGCATTAGCGTCTTAAGTAATGTCTTAAGACGCTAATGCGGCTCTCTGATTGGTTCATGATACCTCAAGGCTGAACTTATGACAGTCTTAAATTTAAGATCTGACTATGAATACCGGCCACAGAGTAGTATTAGCATCTTAAGACATTACTTAGAACAATATTGAAATAAGGACCGACTATAAATACCGACTTGTAATAGGATTATGAAATTTTATTACTGCACTTAGAACGGTCTTACATATAAGAACCGACTATGAATATAAGCCTTAGATTTATCGCGAGGCGTGTCAAAAATGATATCTAAGATTTCACGCTCGGATATCTAAACTTATATCCCTTCTATCTTCTTCCCAGCAAATCTCAGACGCTCATCTTTCACGGTCGAAAATGCGCATCCGAAAAATTTCGCTCACGCGTCTACGATAGCCGCGATTCAGTCCTCGGTCATTGTCACCCTACCGTCCGTCTGCACGCAACGGATCTGTTTTCATTCTCCGAAACGCGCGCCAGCAGCAGCAGCAGCAGCAGCAGTCTCTCCTGGATCCGGATCTCTCTCGCTCGACTCCTTGTTTCGCGAACGCATTTGAAATTTGAATCCGGCGCGGGGTGTGTGTCTCACGTCGACCAATCGACAAGGCTGTCACGGTGTTATGGTCCAATCGGTGATCGCGCTGTCGGAGGCTCGACTCGTACACGGCGTGACGTAATGCCATTTAAAAGGCGAGCCGCGTGGGACGCGCGAATCAGTCGCACGACGCACGTTGCACCGTGTGCATTGCTGGAGCTGTGGCATCGTCGGATTCCCTTCGGCAAGAAAGAGAAAGAGAGAGAGAGAGAGGCTAGTGCATTGTCGTCGTGTCCCTTCCCTCCCTTCCTCTTTCGCTCTTCCTCTTCTTCTTCTATCGTTTCTCCTCTGCTTCCCGGTTCCTCTTCCCTCGGTTCCATCTCACGTATGCCGGAGGTTTCATCGTCCAGCATCGGTGGCTACAATTAGACCAGGCACGAGATCCCGTTGCTGATCCATTACGCTCTCGAGGGATAATTTTATGCGCGACGAGCTGGCGCGCGATCAGGAGCGGAAAGATCACGCGGGCCGAAGGAAAACCTTTTAACACAGCGGTGCCTACGTTACGACTGTCTCGCCGGGAGATTGGAAAGACACGCGAAGGTTGACTTACGTGCTTCCCGTAAGTAGTTACGCGCGCATCGCGCATCGTGACAGGAGATATACTCTAATTACAGCAATAATCGTAATTATTGATTCACTGTATTTTTATTATTTTTTTCCGAGAACCACGAATAGACGAGATTAAACATACGCGATTACTATAACTGTACTATGCTCTTGTTTGTTGTTATCTTGTAGAATTTTCCTGTGAGATTGTGACGGATTACGGCATCAGGAGGATGTGCAATGATGAAACGTATTGCTGTTAATTTGCGATTCCATATCGTTGAATCATCAATCAAATAATTGACTCCGGTACTTCATCGCGCTTCGTATATTCGGAAACGCAGTTGTCTTTTCTATTTTTGTAACATATTTATTAACCTTCTAAAGCACATGTTACTAACCTTTTAAAACATATATTTATTAACCTTCAAAAGAGCATGTAAATATCGCAGAAAGATACGATTATGTTTCTGCGATACACGTGTCGCATAAATTGCAAGATAGAATTTTATGATAGGACTTTGATTGTATTTGCATCTTCATTTCTACATTTTTAAATTGGATTTAAAATTTGATCGCTAGGCGAGAAAAAGAGAGAGAGAGAGAGAGAAGATTTTAAATTGCAATGACGCGAAATCAATCATTCGATAATAATTGTTGGCCATTATTTAATATCAACTTTATCTGCCTTCTTGATTTATACCGAGAACAAGCAGGTGACACGTATAGCACTCGTGTGTTACTCCGTGGCTAAATGTAGCCAGTGTCATTTAGGGACGGAAATAAGCGCGAGTGATGTCAATTTGGTGACCGGTATTGATAAACTTAACGACCATGTCGCTGTACACACGTTTCAATGGCGAGCGATCATGCAGAAAATAAATCCCGTCTTGAGACTTTCAGTCAGAATGCAATTGCACATCTGAAATAGTCTTATCTTATATATATTCAATTATTATCAAAAATCTTATTTAATCTTAATTTTTTTATCGTTTATTATCTATTTAAATTGAAGGATTAAATGAATATGTTACGAGAAATTTTTTTAAAACTAAATTATTAAATTTTAACAACATATAACATATATTATAACATAAGTAAATTATTAATTAATAAATATTAATTAATAAATTGAATATAATTGTTATTAAATTTGATTAATATGTATATATTAATTAGATAATTCAAACTCCAGATTAATTTTCTCAAGTTAAAGTAGTTAGATCTTTATCGTATATACATTTAATTTTTTAAATTGATCTATACATTCTATTAAATTTAATCTCGGAACTATATTTATTCACACGTAGGGGTATGTTCGGATTCTCACCCTGGGTGCTCCCCGGGTGTCATGTCAACCTGTTGTTTAACAAACAAGGATGACATGACATCCCAGAAGGATGAGAATCAGAACATGCCTTAGGTGACTCTCGTCAGTATCAGTGTTAATTAATTATGATACGTGATGTATTAATTCGCAGAACCCAAGTACAATATTTTTAATTAATACTCCGAGAAACGTTTCGAGATATTCAAGGTTTCTCGTCGAGGTCAACTTTGCTCGCGAAAAATGACGGAAACCTTGTCGCATTAAATTGACGGCTCTAAAGATATAGAAGCCTCACTTTCTTCCTTTTTATTTTATTTATTAAATCGCAACAGGGTTGATTACCTCTCACGAATTCATCGAATTATTCGCGAGTTATTCGATTCATTGCGGTAGATTCTCAGAATCGTTCCTCATTGTGGATATTTATCGATAATTGCATATCCAATGGTTTTAACGTGACTCACAAATCACAACTCGACACATAATTCAAATGCGCTGAGTGCAATTAGCTAATGAGAATATGGCGATCGATTTACTGGTTCTGATATTAAATCTATTACATATCGCTACATCGAACAACTTTACGTTTCCTTGACGTAAAAACCGCAACAAGAACCGAACAGTTATCTGTGCCTGTATTGCAAGGAACGTACTACGTTTCTCCAATTTCTGAGAGCATCGTTTATTATTCTAATATTTTGATTCGTTTTCACGAATGTATATATGGAACACACGATATACGTTGTAAAACTTCTTTATCGATACGTCTTATCGTATATCGCGGCATGGAATCTCTTTTACGAAGAAAGATATTAGAATGTTAATGACATAAGTATGTGATTGCGATATTATCTGGTAGCGAAAATTCCTCTCGCGCGTGACTTCTACGTCTTTCACGTTTAACGTCTGTTTTTGCGTTTCATGTTGCAGGGGAGATGCGGCCTCGCTGTTGGAGCTGAGACCGTCCCGTCGGCTGCGAAAGTTCGTGGACCCGCATCCGAAATCGATCACGAAAAAGTAAGGATCACTCGCGTCAGGATCATCATCCGCGCGCTCCATCACCCTCGTATCCCTCGCTCGAAAAAGCGAAGCACGAGAGATACTGTCGAGAATCTAGCCGGGTCTAAGCAAAAAAAGAAAAAAAAAAGAAACGGAAAAATCGAACAACAAAGGAACAAAACGGGGGAGAAACGTTTAGCGAAGAAAGCAGAGCCACTAGATCAAGAGTGAAAGAGGAGGAGAGAGAAGGAAAAGCGAGAGAAAAGTTAAAAAAAAATAGAAAACACATATATATGTATCGCGCATATCGTAACGTCGAGGAGACGGCTTTTCGGTTCTTTCGATAGAAAGCAAGGAGGGAAAGTCGGAGAGAGAGACCGTTAAAATCTGACTTTCGGTACACGCGTTGTTGGTTTTTTTTTCCTCGTTTTCATTTCGCGCCATTTTTCCGTAAAACCTCAAGAGAAAGAGTGATGCGCCCGTGCTTCTCCGCGCGTGCTTGTGTAACGTAAAACCGGATCGCGATATATTCGGCCGACACGGCAGTAATAAACAGAAAGGAAAAAAAAGAAAAGGTAGATCGTACACGCACGCACTTATAATAGTACGAAACCGAGAGATCGAAAAAAATGGCCATGGTCCCGACATGCTCCGTTTTGATGTTTCGTCACGCTGCGCTCTTCATGTTCCTCGTCGTTCTTCCGAGCACTTCTATCGCGGATAACACGGGCACGACGAAACCGCCCCCGTGCTCAAGGTAAGTGTCTCAGAGAACCAGCCAAACGAAATTCATTCTGCACTCGATCCATCCCAAGAACTCGATTCGAACGATATCTCGCGCCCTCTTTTTTTTGCCAACGTGTCATCGCGATGAAATAACTTGTTAACAGGTAATTGCTTAAATGACGTTAGAAACCGATACTGTCTGCCGCTGGCCTTCGAAACTGCGATAAACTGCGGTCAAGTTACATTTTCCATCGTACGATACGCGTGAAAAATTTTCAACATCAACGATCTGTCTATAATTTAAAGCTATCGACGATTGAGAATATTTTTTAAATTCTTCATTGCTTGTCTTCATAAATATGTCACATTAATTTAATCGATAAATATTCTTAATTAAAGCGACTGAAGACATTTCGAAGAAGAAATTTTGAATAAAACATTTGAAATTTTTTTGAAACTGTTTTGTCATTCAGTGTGAATTTATCATAGTAGTATCCTATCATAGTTAAATACTTGAAATCGAGTCCTTTACGCCACTGACTTATACGTAACCGATTATGTTAGAGGCATGATAGTATAAAATTTTATATCCCAATTATCGTACACTTATCTCACTAATCATTATTGATCATTGTTTGCGAAGATGGAATTACAAAATGACGTCGGACTAAATTAGTTAGGACTAGGCATATTATCGCATTTTCTATAAATGCATTTAACACTACAGGCTATTACGTAAAAAAAAACAATGATAGCTTGTCATTTAGCTAATTGTTTTTACATATCACCAACAATGCTCATTTAAAAATATTTTTTTTAACTTAAAACGGCATAAAATGTATTACCACGCATTAGAATTGTTTGCCGCATATAAAAATATTTATAGCTGCCACATCTTATTTTCAGGACAGTTTACTGCAATAGATAAAATTATTCTATTGTGTAACTAAAAATAGAGATTATAACAAAAATTCACCAAGTAGTTGCCAGAAGTTAATTATGTGTAGAAAGATACAAAGTAGAATATTAGTATGAATGCCAACAGCAATACCATCACAACTCTCAATTTTCTCCAAAAAAAATTAATAAATTAATAATAAAAAAAATAGGTTTTTTCGAAAGTAGAATATATTTGTACGAGAATTTTTTTAACAAATAGATTGTATAAATTACAGAATCCTACAATTCAAAGTTTTAAATTCATTTAAATATATTCGGTAGTTACCAGAAAACTGCGACATTAGACGAATAAATTCCGACAGCTGACCAATCGTAGGTATCAGACGTCTCGAGAAAATGTCACGAGACTTCAAATGATATGTCGACAACGAGACACGTCGTACACGCGATAAAAAATAATCGTGTCATACATGTCATTCGTAAAATTACTCGATGGACTTGCAAACAATTTTGTTTGCAATAAAACTCGCTTGTTCTTAATTTTCATGTTTCATTTTTAACTTAAAAAATTTATTTATATTTGAAATTTTCAAGAAATTTTCTGTTTTACAACTTCTTTGTAAGATGTATTTTTTTCGACGATGTTATCAAGTTATCTAAATTATGTCATTTTTCTAACACTTCATAATTTACAAATGAAGTTCGTAGCATCTTGTTTTTGTTATTTGGGCCTTTGTCCAAGTGATTCCTACTTTATTTTGACGTAGACGTAAATCACATGTTGCGGAAACATACGTAGAAGAATAGTTCGCTTTTCCAAAATTAGATTAATGTGCTATTTTTCTTCTGCGTATATTTTTTCTTTATCGTTATTTCATTAAATTCAAATGTTAAATAAAATATAGAAAATTAATATTGGGATTATTATTATTAGGAAATAAATTGAGGAAAATCAATCTTTCGACAACAATATTAGATTTTAAAGGCACAATCGATTTTTTTTTATTGTAAATTCTGATAGATAAATTTAAATTTGTAAAAATAAGTAAAATACAATCCAATTTCTATATGATAAAAATTCATCATTTATATTAAAATTTTCAGAAATGTAAGAATTTGTTCTATGTAAGAATTTTTTCAGATTTTTGCATACTTTGGAACAATACAAAAATTTGCACTGAAGTTCGAAAAGATTGCAGACGAAAATTAATTATTAACAAAATGTACAAATATTAATGCGACTTCGGAGGGAACAATATTCTGCTAATTAGATTCGACTACGTGTGCCGCTTCTCAAATTTTGTACTTTCCTCTTCCTTACAAAGTGCCATTATACAGTATAATCATACCTCTGACGCACTAAGGAATCTGTGTCACTTTAAACCGACGGGATTGCATATGCGATATTGCATTAGCAGGCACGCGTGACGCGAGCATTTAGGGAAATGACCTTAGCAATGAACCTTGTCTCGTAATCAGGCGCGTGGCAAGTTGGGCTCTAAATTATCGTGTTCCGCAAGCACAATGAGCGTGACCTTTACAGCGTCTGCATATGTATGTGTGCACATGCTAATGGTGTGAGTCGAATTGCAACGGAAACTTTTCACTCGTACGATCGATGATGCGTCGCCAGCATCTCTATCTAAAGATTTGGCGTTCGTTCTCTACCCGCCGAGATCCCGCGAGCTGATGCACATCGAGGATTATTGTTATACTTGTTTAAATGTAAATGGAAAAACATATTGTTGAAGTTACATACACACACACACATATATATATATATATATGGGACTTTCCACGTCAATCGGATACTTTCGAAAGAAATGTGCTGTTTTGAGAGATTCAATATGGCGGATCCAATGGAGCCGAGAAGCGATGAACATCGCATGCAAATGTAACCTTTTCTTGCTTAAACTATTGTACTGATCCCCAATTAGCTTGAAAATGATTACTTCTAGATTTTTCGGAGTTGTTGATTGCGAATATGCTGTCAAAATTTCGAAATTTAAAATAGTAGATCTAATATGGCGACCAGCGTACGAAACCTTGAGCTCTATACTCTTAGACCTTCAACCTCTTTTAATTCTCAAGCTTTTTAATCCCGAGCGTGAAGGGGTAAACTATTTTAAGTTAGTTTTAGAATAAAAAATATTTTAAGCCGATTGGGGATCAGTACAACAGTTTAAGCAAGAAAATGTTACATTTGCATGCGATGTTCATCGCTTCTCGACGCCATATTGGATCCGTCATATTGGATCTCTAAAAACAGCATATTTCTTTCGAAAGTACATGCACATACGAATAATTTGAGATCTTGAACGCTTATTTTCATTGTTTTTTTGGACACGCAGGTGATCCGGTTGACGTGGAACGTCCCATATTATATATATATATATATATATATATATACATATATGGCACAAACTCTAAAAATACTTTACACGCGATATATAAGGTATTTTTTTAACCGGACGATTACTCGGAATTGATACGAGAAAGAATCAGGTTGTCGTAATTGCGAAACTGTTTTGCTTTTTGCAGATACGTCACGGTTCTTAAACAAAGCGAGCAATGAAGGGTATCGACTTGTTAATATAATGTTAGATAAAGCAGTGTATCGTGTTCCTCATAATTCTGCACATTCAAACAGAGGAAATTTACTATACCTTTCGATATTCGTATTCGACATAGAATATCTATTATTATTATTGCGAATTTTATTGTTACGTAAAATGAAGTTTATAATAACCGATTCAACTGGCACAATTTTAGAAGGAATTCTGGGCAAAATGTCAATTAAGTCAAGAGCATTTATCTCATATCGAGATTTCTAGAGATATTAAACATTTTCGTATGCAATCTCACGAATTTTGGCGATGCGCCATCTCAACAAATCTACATACTATTTTCTGCAATGCAGAGAAAAATCGTGAAAAAAAATATATATATATTTATTTCTTGGTAAAATTGCTTTAAAAAGCCGTAATGACTTTTTTTCTTAAAGTGCTCAAGGATCACGATATCACAATTTGCGGATAATGACAAGTTCCGATATGGAATTATCTGCTAATTTACGGATACAAAATTCAGTAATGTTTTCCAAGAAGATAAGGACTTCTTGTGTCTTACGCATCGTACGATGCAAACATGTTTATCGAGTATAAGTATATCGTGACATAAACAGATCCGAATCACGTCTCCGAGATAACGTGCATCGGATATATCTGGCAATGGGTGCACCTTTGATCGCGACGATTAACTCTGCTGATCTCTGTGGAGACACATTTTGTCTTTTTCACCGAGACGCGCATATCTCGGTTTGAGATATCCTTGATTATGATAGCGAGTAGGATAACGCGACGATGTACAAAGGATATGAGAGGCGGTATGCCGAACACGCTTAGAGCTTAGTAAATTGAATCTTCCGGAGATCTTTCGAATGACGTCTTAATAAAGTGGCGCGATCAGGCCACTTCTTGGCCGAGACTGCAATGACATTTCAGTCTAATGCCCGTTTCTACCAATGTAGATTAATCTCACAATCAGTTCAACTTACTCTTCATCTTTTTGTATTATTCTTGGAACTAGAAAAAGATGAAGAGTTAGTTGAACTGAGATTGAATTAATCTACATTGATAGAAACGGATAAGATGAACACTAGATTTTCGTAAGGAGATCTAATTCGATGTTTGCTTATATGTAAACGAATATTTATATTTGACGGAAGACTAACGAATGTGTACAGTATATCAAATGTAGATCTTCTGTCGCATGATGCAATTCCCGCATTCGTTTAGCATTAATTAAATCAATGTGTAATTAAAACGATTTATCGTCGGCATCTCACGATTCGCTGCATTTGACACAACTGTTCGAACCTGTTCGCAATAATTATTGCCATTTTCCACAATAATTTTTTACGTCCAGTTTATGTAAATATAATGCTAGTCTGCATTGCGATCGATATATTATTTGAGAATAATAAATATAGAAGCTAGCAATTTAAATTAGAAATAAAATTATAATAATAACGAGTAATGAGAGCATTAAACAGCGCATAAATTGGTGCGCAAATTATATATAAAAAACTTTTTTCATGATATTTAATATTATATTTATCTAACATACAAATTTACTTGAATGTTTCGATTTTTCTTCAAATCATCTTCAGCAAGTTGTGAATGTTTTAGTCGATGTTTTGGTAATATATAATCCGTCGATGTTGGAAGATAAATTATCGTCGAAGACTTAACTTAGGATAACTCCGGCAAATATGCCGCACTGGGATTTACGCCGCAGAAGTCAGAAAAAATAGAAAGGGGTAATTTTCCCATAACTACTCTGTTACATGCCTTTATGTTATATTAGTATTGTGTTATGATTTCAGCTTCTTATTGTTAATATTAATGAATTTATTGTGAGTTGAATCGATTTGTCACTGTAATAAGTAACGCCATCATAAGTTATAATCTACATAAAATGATTAATGTAGGACGTGTAAAAGATTTAGTGGTTATTTCGTGATACATACGTGTAATGGAATAGTAAAGCATGTTTGTATTATTAAGCATATTTGCATTATTTGTAAATTTTTCATGAGCCGTACATACCCCCTTTTCCCCTATGAGTAGCCATATATCCCACCCCTACGAGATATGCGGCAAAAATACAAGAGAAGGTTTCAAAAAGTTTATTTTTTAATATGAAAAATAAATATTTCGGATTTCTAATATTTTTTTCATAGTAGTAGACAGTACAAAGTTTTTACTGATATAGTTCGTTTACTATAAACATAGTAAATAATACTTAATAAATTAAGTTTTTGATAGGTGCGGCGTATATACCGGAGTTACCCTATAGTCCGCATATGTTGGAGAATCATTCTACGTGAGACCAAGGATGAGCATGTCCCTTCTGTATGAATGGGAAATTTTCAAAAATTGTCTCTTCGCTGTTAAGCCAAATGATTAAGCTGGATAATAGAGCATTGGATTTTAATTGAATTGTTATGAAATATGTGTGCTAATTCTACTTACCCTCAGTCCCCACAGAGTACAATCATTTCAAGTCATTAACATGTCAAATTTATAAAATTGAAATTAAGGATACAATAAATCTAATATGTTATATAATATGAGATATAAAAGAATAAAGATTAAATTAAATGTGTTATCCGGAAGTCAGAGCATCACAAATCCGTTATTATTGTAATTTTATTTTTAATTTCGAGAGCCCGATTAGTATTTATAATAATTTCAATTAGATTATCATATGAAATCAGCAATATTTATTAATTAGCGATATATCACGCATAATTGTGGATATATAAGGTTTAGTAGGGTTTAGTAACCGGCTTGACAATAGTGAAAACTGAATGATTACAGTTATCGCATGCACGAATGTGTATTTAAACGAAATTATCATGGATACTGCTAAATTACGCAAACGCTAAAATCGCACTGTCATTCCCACGCCATCGTTTCTATCTATTTCAAAATGTATTAACATAGATAATCTGGCAATGGATAAACTTGACATGAAAAAACTCCTTTAAATAATATTCCTCTAGGAACAACAATAACTTGACGATCACATATCCGATCTTTGCAAAGATAGACATCTTTCCTTTTAAAAATACTCCCATATTATGCGACGTGTCGATTAAAAGATGCTTCCGCGCGTGCAGTTATTCCATGCGGATAATTATATTTGTGTTAAAAGGATCGTATCGGCACGTAACCACGGATTAATAATCAGGCGCTCACAAATCAAAGACCCCGCGGAAATTTTCACACTTCTGCCGCGCTAAAAAAAGAGTCTGATAATAGCAAATGAATGAAATTTTAATCAAATGCTCAGTTAATATAATAAAAAATAATTTTACTTTTCTAAATATTTAATAATTATTATCAAATGATTGATTATATTATTATACTTGGTAATCCTTATTAAATATTTAGATACTTATAAAATTTAGAAAAGAGTAAAATCATTTTTTAGTTATTAAGTAAAATTAATAATGCCAATTAAAACAAAAAATAAAAGACTATAAAAGAATAATAAGAGTAATTATCCTCATAGCCTTGATTTTTCATTTTTGTATTAACCGACCATTAGATTGAAATTATTTTACTCAACATTTGTGATAGCTACTCTTTTTTCAGTGTAGATTTTCGAGGTAATCGTTAATAATGAGGCAACTCGCGGAGATCGGTTCGGTTTCCAGCACGAACGGGAAAATCATTATCCTTCGTAACGTATTCGTGAGACGCGACTGCAGCGCGCGTATTACTAATGATAATGAGGCGGCACATTTCGCGAGCCGATCGCCTGCCGCCTCGCGCATTCCGTCACGCGAACAACGAGCGGGATCTCCTCCATTCTACGCACAGACACCACGATCGATTTCATTCCTAGCCGCGAAACGAACGAGCACGTGCACGCGGGAATCGCGTTCATCAAGGCCGTCCAGGAAAGCGGGAATCGCACGATTTCGCACGATTTCGCACGTACCAATGACCAGGCTGATCTACATGTTCACGAATCCGCGCGATTTCGCACAACCCAGCGTGTCCGAGATCGTTGAAAAATAATCCACGCGAGAGAGAAAAACGGAAGCGAGAAGAATACAAGCAGAAGAATAACAGTCCGAACAAGAACAGTATTGTACTTGTTTGCGTTGCTCTCACGACAGTAGAATCTTTTTTTAACGAATTGATTTCGAAGAAGTATATCGGGAAACTTTTGAGCTTGTTTTTAATTTAATTTAATTTAATTTAATTTATTGTGCACTTTTGATATTTATGCTCACTACGCGTAATTTTTAATAATCGTGACAGAATTTTTCATATTTACGACTATTGCCGCGCATGAATACGCGCTCGTTTGAATGAATACGTTCTTTTTATGAGCTCTGATCTAATCCCGACCTACTGAAGGTATTCCCGGAAGTGAATCAAGATACTTGCAATGCCAACGGTTCATAGGAAAAAATAAAACTATATAATTAGATTGGAATTTTGTTACTATTAAGCAGACAAAAGTCTTTACATATGTTGTCCGCACCTTTATTGATATGACATCGTTGTTTATGAGGATAAACGATAATAGTTAATCCTAATTTGCAATTCGAAGCCACAGCTCTTTTTTTTCTTACAATCAATGGCTACAACTACCTTTGTTCTTATTGGAAATTGCGCGTTTTAAAATATTTCCGGCTTAAGTGGGGGTCGAGACATTGGTCCAGATGTCGATTCAACCGCGAAAACCGCGAATAGTTGAAAAGCTTGTCTCGTAAAGTCACTATAGGATTACACCACAAATGCGAAATCTTAACATAGCTTCTTTTAATACAGGATTGACTTTGCACTGCGGTGAAAGGAGATTTGGTGGCCGTCTAATTGATATCATATCTATGAAATTAATTAATAACAGGAACTCTTATGTCAACGATGTTCCTCATTAAAGCTATTCATAATCGTTATCTTGGTGTTACCATAAGTCTGCATAAATCACCGCATAAATTAACGATCCCGTTCGTTATTTCTTCATACGCGTCCGTCCTTTCTTTTTACTCCGATGCAAAGTTCGTTCTATCGATTTCATTCACGTAACACTCCCGCCCTGGCGAGAGAGACCACCGTCGCGACCAATTGCACGCGATCGAGAGGGTCTCGTGCTCGTCGAATAGCCAAGTAGCCATGTACCGTGCCTTTCCAGTGAGATATACTGCCACGGCGATCTGCTGCACACGGTACAAATGGCCGGCATATACAAAGACTCCAAGTACTTCGTTGATATGAAGATGAAGCGGTCGGCAAACGAGACGCTGGCGTCGTTCTGGGCCTTCATGAAAAGCGTGAACAACGCGCCGAACAAGCACCAGGTGGAGAAGTTCGTCAACGACACGTTCGAGCAGCCGGGCTACGAGTTCGAGGACTGGGACCCGGCCGACTGGACGGCCACTCCCAAGTTCCTGCAGAACATCGAGGACGACGAACTGCGGAAGTTCGGCTCCGATCTCAATCAGATCTGGAAGCTGCTGGGCAGAAAGATGCGGGACGACGTGCGGATCAACGAGCAGCTCTACTCGATCATCTACGTACCGCATCCGGTGATCGTGCCCGGCGGACGATTCCGTGAGTTTTACTATTGGGACTCGTACTGGATCATCAAAGGCCTGTTGTTGTCCGAGATGCACAACACCGTCAAGGGCATGCTGAACAATTTCGTTAAGATAGTGGATAAGATCGGTTTCATACCAAACGGCGGTAGAATCTACTATGCGATGCGCTCGCATCCGCCACTGTTAATACCTATGGTAGACGAATATCTGAAGATCACCCACGACGACGCCTGGCTGAAGGAGAACCTCTGGTTGCTGGAGAAGGAGTTCAACTTCTGGATGACCAATCGTACCGTGGATATTGAGAAAGACGGGATCAATTATACGCTCGCTAGGTATTACGAAGAGTCATCAGGTCCCCGACCGGAATCCTACAAGTGAGTACCGCGACTTCGTATTAGCGTGAATGACGTTGCAGATTTTGAGAGGAGCTAGATGATCTAGAGTTGAAGCAAATGAGTTAAAGTATACATGCGGAAATATTATTCTTGATGATACTTATGCTTATTAATCTTATTATCTTTATACCAGTTTGTAAGCATTAATTTTTATGCGTTGCATAACACTTGAATTTTTTGCAAGAGATTCTGACTCTCTTACAAGACGCACGAAATCAGCATTAATTTTGCGAGTTCTATTAGTAATGCTACTCTCACTTTCGACGTTAATTCTGACAATTGATTTTCATCCTTCGATTTTTTAATCTCGCGATTTGGTGATCAGGGAGGACTATCTGACGAGCCAAAGTTTTCGAACCGCCGAAGAGAAGGACAATTATTATTCAGAATTGAAAACAGCGGCCGAGTCCGGATGGGATTTTTCCAGTCGATGGTTCGTACACGAGGGTACCAACAAGGGTAATTATCATTCTTTAATTGCTTCCCGCGCGAGGAAAATAAAGGTCTTTATGGCTGAGCGACGTTGGGTGCAATAGTATTACATGCGAGTTTACGAGTACGATTTAAAATAACTTTGATTGTTAGACAAAGTTATTGTCACAGAGACAACAGAATTATAAGCTCAATAATGATAATATTTGTGATTTAACAAGAAAGAGACAGATATTTATATATAAAATAAACGTATGTTTATATATAAAATAATACGTATAAAAATAGAATGTAGGAAATCCCGCATTAAATAATTCTTTTGCGCGCAGATTCTTTGATTATCCGCGATGCTCATTAGAAACTATACTAAAAGAAGCTAAGAGCGCAATCCTGTTTGTTCGTCATAATTTTTTTTAATAGATCGGACCGAAGCTATAATAACGTATTACACATACATGAGCAGCATTACCCACAATTATCGTGCTATTCCACATTAAACACCGTATCTTCAATGAGATCTGCGCGCACTTCAAGGCCCTCTAGCTCGTTTCTTAAGTGAAAGCAATGTTCGAGGAATCGGTACTCTAAAATTTATTTTCGCAAAAGCTGCACGTATTACAACTGAAATCGTTAGATCGTGTCGTTGCTTTCTGCACAGCGTTTAAATTGCCCCTACCTCGCTCAATTCCATCATAATGAAATTGAAAACTCGATTTAGCTTACTTTTTAAAGTAGTCGTAATGAATTGCGCTTCAATATAACAGCTCGTAAGAGCGACTTAGCTCGTAAGAGAGAACTAGAGGCTGATAGCCAGATGGATTTCAGGTAATCTAACAAATCTCAAGACTAGGTCTATAATTCCGGTTGATCTGAATACCTTTTTATATCGAAACGCCATACTGCTGGCGCAGTTCAATCGTCAGATGGGAAATGAGACAAAAGCCGCATATTACGATGACTTGGCTGAGAAGTGGAAAGAGGCGATCAAGATGGTGTTGTGGCATGAGGAGGTGGGTGTCTGGTTGGACTACGATATATTGAACGACATCAAGCGAGACTACTTCTATCCGACTAACATTTTGCCACTCTGGACGGACTGCTATGATACTTCTAAGAGAACTGAATACGTGTCAAAGGTGCTTAAGTACCTCGAAAAGAATCAGATCATGTTAAATCAAGGCGGCATACCGACGACATTAGAACATTCCGGTGAACAATGGGACTATCCCAATGCCTGGCCGCCTCTCCAGTATTTCTTCATCATGTCGTTGAATAACTCGGGCGACCAATGGGCGCAGAGACTAGCCTACGAGATTAGTCAGAGATGGGTCCGTAGCAACTATAAAGCTTTCAACGAGACTCACAGCATGTACGAAAAGGTAAAGTAAGGTTCTCATGAAAAGAAATGAAAACAGAAAAGAATATAAATGAAATGAAAGAATATAAATTTGTGTACATTGCGATTTTGAAAAAAAAAACTCATGTCGCGTTAAGAAATAAAGTGATTTAAATCGAGATGCTCATCGACAATTTAATTTGTCTTCTGAATAAATTTCTAAAATGAAAGTGAATGGAATTTTGTTTGCAGTACGATGCGACCGTTTCGGGTGGCCACGGTAGTGGAGGTGAGTACGAAGTACAACTTGGTTTCGGCTGGTCAAACGGACTCGTTATGACATTGCTAGATAAGTATGGTGACAGGTTGACCGCGGAGGATTACTTTTCGGCAGACGCCGTGGTTGAGAACGCGGCGTCACCGCCAGTCATTTCAACAGCTGGTCAAATGCTGACTGGACTTTTAGCTATCATTATATCATTAGCAGCAGGATTTATAGGGTGAGGTGAGTGTCGAACTAATAGAATTAATTCTTTACAAAGAACAATGGGAAAGACTTATTTACATTTTTGTAATTAAACCTAATTTATAACTGTCTATTTCTTGTAAATTTATAATCTTATAATCTTATAATCGCACAAGTCTTTTCCATTAATTAATTAGTAGTACACACTTAAATTAAAAGGATATTTTTTGCTTTCTGTTTCAGACATCCATGTGACCTAAATCAGCTAGCATAAAATTCGCGAAAAGATACATTAGAAAGATCGATACGTATCGATCGATGATAGTAGATATTTCCAGTCTTGAAGAAACGAAAATTGATCTAAGTAATATTGCCGCTCTTCTTCCTCGCTCGTTTGATTTGTATAATTTAAGAATTGAACGATCGATGAAGAGAGCGTAAAACGGGTATAAAAGGACCAAATAGAAGCAAGTGCAGGCACTGTTCTTTTTATATTATTGTAAGACACTCCAAAGTGTGTGAGAGGGCCTCGAAAACAGCGTCATTTTTATTCTTTTGCCACACATGCTTCCAAAGAATATTTTATAAGCTACAGGATATATTATATATTATTAGATAATATTTGCATTTAAGTAACATTTTAGAAGGGACATGCGTCTTTGTTGCCTTACTTGCGATATGTCATTGATATCGTACTTATTGTTAATTGTTTAAATTTATTATGATATTATCATACGATATTATCTACCGTTCCGCACTTTACATTCCTCGTGATTTATAATTATTTTACTGAAAAAATATCTGTAGTAAGTAATATTTCTGAAATTGTCTCTAAGAGTATATCGCCAGTATGCCTAAACATATTTGCAAACATGTGCCTTCTTAGCTATGGAATTATGTCGTTATATTATTTATAGGAATGTCGTGGCCCTTTTCACTGACGGCTAACGTAGACAGGATCTATTATCACTAGACAATCGTCTATTACTTAATCGCTCCATCAGACGTGCGCTGTTATGAGGTATATTCTGTGATCATTTAACGAACTACTTCGCTGGTCGAACTATGTTCTATTGTCCTTCCATTGCAGGAATTTATTCTTTATCTTTAGATCTAAAACTTTGAAAATACCGCAGGCGATATCTCGAATTTAGTCCCTACAACATATACTATATATAAACCGATGTATATTATATTTTATTTTGAGATTAGCCATTGATACACTACTGTATTAGTATTATTAGGATAGATAAATTATTATCGCGCATATCTATGTAACAAACGAAAATATCAACGTCTCCAAGATTTTCCGGACCGATTCCTCAGAGTAAGGTTCCTCGACAGGAAAAAAGAAAAGTATAAAGGTGAGAAAATGAGAAAATTAAGGGAACAGTTTGGCAAGACTAGTTACAAAATAAAAGATACAACGGGAAAGATTCCACTCTCTCTCTTTTCTGAGAGATGAATGGACTCATCTAGTCAGTTATGCGTACGGCGCCTAGCCATCTTATTTTTATGAGTCGCAATAACGACGTCGTGAAGGCTGGGCGTCGCCAAAATTACTCCTCTAATCTTCGTCGTTACTCGAAGAGTGCCTTATATATAACTTGAATCTAAAACGGGCGGATAACACGAAGTATTAAACGAGTTGAGGAAAGCGCGAGATGATGGACAATGAACGAACGACCGTTGACGGTTGACAGTCCATAATGATGACAGATAGTTTGCTTTCAATTCGCGAATTGCCGCCTGTATATTTTATAATCCTCTCTTGCTCATTCGTGACAATCATTCCCCTTGTAGTAATTTTGTGAGCTCAACATATACGCAATATACTTATAAATATTGGAGCAAAATATTAGAGTTATGATCTCGAAAATTACTATGTCTGCATTCGTCGAATCTATTGAATAGATCATTCTAAAGAAAAATAAAGAATATAGAGAGAAAATTTGAAAAACATATTTAAAAAAAGAAGTTTATCATATAACTGCTTAAGATAGTTTATTTGTAAAATATGGAGATCTCTAATACAATTACGTATACATTTAAATATTAGCACAACTTGGCTATTTATTGTGAAATTATTAATTAGCGCGCAAACAGCATTAATGAATTATCCGCCGATTATTTTACATTTTTATTCTAGAAGAAATACCGCCACTTTTTAGAACTTTATTATAGCCAAGCCACATTTAAATTTAATAACGCATGAGTGAGTGTGTACAGAACTCGCGTTTGTCTTGCCCCGAATAATATTGCACGGTTTTACAGTCGTAATTATATAACAATACTCGAGGTAATTGTTTTTATTAATCGGATACCATTTTTCCTTTTTCCACAGCTGTTTGTGCGAAGTAATGTGTTATGCATGCTCCCTGCATCCAAGTCCAGCTCCCTGTACAATAACTTTAATAAAATAAATAAATCGAATATCTATATAAACCCATCCTGCGATGTACCGAGTATTGCATGCAGCCGTTTACATTATTCTGTAACATATCCGTAAAGTATAATTACTTAAAAAAAGAAACATTCCAGATATATATATACATTCGTCGAAACTAGATCGGATAAATACGCTCCTTCGTTCTGTTTGGTAAGTCTGCGCCTAATATGCAACCAGATTTGTCAAGGATCAGTTATGAAGAAATTATATTTACGAGGTGAATTCGTTAAACCAGTATTTTCCAGTATTAACACGATACCAGAAATTAAACGTAATTATGTATGAGTAATCTGTATTTGTTTTTTTATGTGTAATTAAAGAATACAGATGTATATTTTTAAACATTTGCATAAGAATGCATTGTCAATTTGCACACAAGGATATTCCTTTCGATAGATGGTACTAGAAGAGCCTTTTGTTATAGCAATAATTATCATTCCACCGCGAGTGGAAGTTTTCGCGCACCTTCGGTGGAGCTTAGTGTACCATCAATAGTAATTACATAGATAATAGTCGAGTCGTGATGATCATACAGCGTGATCCAAAATATACATATCAGAAGGCAGAGAAGTATTCGATGACGTTCTTTTTAAAAAAAATTTAATTCGAAGAAGAAAAGCTTCAAGTGTATAAAGATATAAATCTTTATAGAATCAAGTTTTTTTTGGATTAAGAGATTTAATTTCACCTAGGAAAAAATTCGCAAATTATATATACTTTAAAATATGACTAAATTTCCAAACCGTTGATTTTTTATTTACGTATATGAGCATCTAATAAATATCTTAATTACGATTTAAACGAAGTATTTAGACTTCAGGCTCCTCAAAATTAAATATACCTCGAATGAAATTTTTCCTTAGAGAGAGGAACTATAATACTCCCAAAATATTTCTTACTTTTAGAATAACGCGAATTTTTAGACACTCCGGATGTATGTCACTATTACACGAAGAACACGTAGCCGTGGTTTCGACGTTATTGCGATAGATGCGATGAAGCTACTAGCTGTATGTAGCTATCAGTATCTCCCGTGAATGTACCGATACAATTGCCAGCACCAGCACGTGTGCTGGTACAGAGAAAGAGGAGGAAACGAATGGCCGTCGGTGAACAATACACGTGATGTAGGCGTGACTGCATTTGCTATTCAAACTTTTTGCGCAAATTCCTGCCAGCGTTAGATCGTGCTCAAGGACTGACCTGCGATTGTACTGATAAAATGTGGTAATCCCATACGCACCGAGCTGTTTGTGTTGATAAAGATGCGAAGACGAACGGACATTGCGCAGTGCCGCGTAGGTGAAGGAATTATTTTCGAGAGCGGGAGATTACTTAGTTTATTGATACAATAAATTAAGAAGAAAAAGAAATTGTGGTAAATTGTTTCGATCGCGATAAAATTATGAAAATGAAATCGCTCCTGTGAAAAAACATGGGGAATTTATTTAAATTTATGAGAACTTGATGACATTTCAAAGAGAATCTGTGTTTGAAATACAATTAAACTAACGTTTTGAAATAGAAATAAATTTTTTTTGTATTTTTGATAAATTGTATATTTTTTTTAACCGAAAGAAAGGTAGATATGCTTTGCAGAAAAATACCACCTACTTGATGTTTGAAAGAATTAACTACGCACAGCACTTAGAAGCAGAGCACAAAGAAATTTTAGTATTTCCAATATAATTACAGTAATTATCAATTACAATAATCGTAATCGAAATCTGATCACAGAATTACAAAAAAAACAACGCACGCAGATGGATGACAATCAAAAACTGTTATTTAATATTATATATTACTTCTTTACAATGATAAATTAACATTATCGTTAATTATAATAAGTCATAATTTACGAAATGAAAGCAACACTTTCGTTTAATATATATGTATTTTTTTGTAGGAAATTAGTCACCATGCAGATATCTTAACTAGTTTTTTCTTTCGCAGGATGGTCATGTACAAGAGGCGACATTATTACGCGCCCGGTCCATCGACGAACAAGAGGAACGTGTTGTCGAGCGGTAGCAATTTATACCGAAAGCGAATCGCATATACCGAATTGAAGGACATGAACAACGATTGATGACCGCTCGTTGTCTAGACCGAATATCGACTTGTTACATGACTAGTGAAAGCAAAAGTACGCGCACATTTGTAGGAGAAAAAATAAGATGAATAGTTGGCAGGATGCATCAGGATAGAATCGGAATCTAACGATCTAACGATGTCAGGAGAACGATGAGGAGAAGTTCCGAAACGCTAATACAGAAGAATACACTCATAAGAGAAGAAGAATCAGTGCAGAATATTACATGGAGATGTGGAAGAGCTATTAGTGAGAGAATGCAGATGCGTTCGAAGATGGAACACGTAGCGTGAAGCTTCGACAAGGTCTTCCAGCTTGCGAAACCGAATGACGACAGGATCAACGATCATGCAGGATCTCGGAGACAAGAGCTGAGGTTTATTTGATTCTAGTTTCGTTTAGCTTAATGCAAAGTTGAAATAAGGAAGAAGCAGGAGTAGATTTATAATGTATTTAAAAATCAGGATAAAGAGAATGAGTGTGCATGTGTGTGTGCCTGTGTGTGCGTTATGTAGGCACGTGAAATGGCCTACTCCTGCGACTGGATTTAGTTTTAATTTAGTAGAATATTAGATAAAAGAGTGTAATGGAATTTCGTAAATTATTTATTGAATTTGCCGGAAGATACTATCATACAGAAACTCCACAGTGCTCTTTTGAGTACGATTCGTTTAAAGGAAGGAAAATGTTACCTAGCTAACGCTAAATATTCATAGAAAGTTCGATTCGTACTACCAATGTACCGAATGTTCCGGAACAGTAAAAGAATCGTCACAGAATGTGCAAATCGATGAAATGTTCAGAATATTATGTGAATACTTCTTGTATATTTCTCGAAAATCGCTAGCGAGCGAGCAATACACATCTCCGCCGACAGAGGGCCACGGCGACGAACATTTACTCGTAAACAAGAATCACCTGAGAGAGAAGCTAAGGAGCGCAGCACTTTGTCTGTGAAGTGAGCCGCAAAATTGGACTCTAAGGTGAAAACACATTAATTGTGTTTTCCAAAGTAAAATTTTGTTTAAAAGCTGATTCACGGACAACCTGACCTGGAATTTTTGGAAAAATTAAAATTTTGCGGAATATATATGGAATATATATAAAACATTCTCGGAATATATGTAACGATATACAAATGAAATTTTTAACCGACATTTGAATGTTTCTTTTATACATATCGTAAATATTCGGAATATTTTGGAGTATTCTTGGAACGTTTTTTTGGGATTTTAGGAATATTTTATGAATATTTCAAGAATATTTAGCGTTTGCTGGATAACTTCGATATTACATTTGATATACTGTTTACCGTGCTAATTTTAATATTATTATCTTTAAGGATAATTTTCACGAGCGTGAAACCGATACGTTAAACGACTATTTAAGCGTAAAATTAAAATCTACGGTGCCATCCAAAATGATAACTTATAACTATATGTATGAAAATCAATTCTGCACAATGTTACGTATACCGGAGTAAGACTTTCTTTCGCGACGGTGAGAAAGTGCGTTTTTATCAATATATCAGCTATAATGACTCACGGGAAGCAATTTTATAATGACGAATTGATTGGTAGAAAGAAAACCGGTAGCAAAAACGAAGACCGATGAACTTTGCTATTTGCGGATGCGGACTAAATAATGCGTACGTATAAACTTGCGAGATTGACGCGTATGCGATTTATAGAGTGTATATCATGTGTGGTAGAAAATTACAAAATTATAAGAATAAATAAGTATGTATATGTGTGTGCACATATATATACAATATATAATTATATATATAATATTAAATTATATATACAAATCTTATATATTATACATATATATTATAATCATATATATGTATAATTTAGATAAATGTAGATAATTGACGACACTACAAATAAATTAATGGCTACGTTTACACCGTGCATTTAGGCCGCGGCCTATACAATAGATGTCCTTGTTTATCTTGTAGGTTAAACAAAGACACCTATCGTATAGGTCGCAGACTAAGCGCACGATGTAAACGTAGCCATTGAGAATATTGTATTTTTGCTGATATTTTTATATGTGGGCGAGCACATTTATCTCGCGTTATTAGCGAACGGGCGTCCATTCTATCAAAAATCGATGCGTCGTGTGCGACAATTGATCTGCGTCTTTAGTCATCTGTATTAGAACAAAACTTGGCGATATATAAGAAGTTGAAAGTTCCTTTGCCAATCTTACGACAGAGCTTTCACGCGCTCAATTAGTTTTATCTGTTAACTCTAGCAACTCCATGATTTTATGGTATTTATATTTCATTTAGCATAAAGCAAGGCTGCTAAATAGAATTATTTTAGGACTATTGAAAAATCTATGGAGTGTACATTTTGTTGCGTCTGTGTGTTTAACTTTGCTCTCTCGTTACATATTACTAAGCGAACGCAATGACTCAAAATGATCATTTTTGTAGGTCGTTTTTCGATGACATCGCAGATATTGCGATTTTCGAATGTACAGAGACGAGCATTAGATGATATATATAAATCATATTTTTGGCCAGTGTGCGATACGAAAGTATCTAATGTTTCTTTCGCGAAACATAGAAGAGACCGGGGACAAAAGTAACACGGGACAATAGTAACATCGTTAATATTTCTTAAACTATAATGGATATATGTATGCAGCTGCATGGTAAAATTCTGTAGACAGATCGGCATTGAATCGTTCGTTACATGCTGATTCTCGCGAAACGTGCACGAGTGCAGGAGCAAAAATTATTTTTTTCATGCATCAAGTAAGTTTTATTGCGTGCATAAAATCTACAATATTTTTTTTCTTTTTAATGAAGGTATAGTGTATTATCATAATATGTTTTAATGATTATCTGCGTTGATGTTTACAATTATCCCCAAACTTACTTGATTTTATTTTAGTATTATTTTGTACAACGTTATTTGTATTTTTCTTCATAGAATCCCATTAACAAGAAAACACAAGACAGATAAGAGAAAAATTATATATAAGAAGTGTCTTTATACAAACAGAGACATTTAAAGAAGTTATGAAGGACCAGAGATATCTATTTGTGCAGCTGCAAGAAAGTATAATTTATAAGTTATTGTGTTACATACCTCTGGCAAATGTGGTACAATTATCCTCCTCTACTGTTATAATCGTTACTATCGTCCCTGAGGGTTGGGACGGTTGTAACAAAATTCCTTATAGTCTTTAAATAAACATAACTTTTTTTCTAGTTGCATAAAATAATTAAATCAAAGAAAATTTTGTATTTAAATAAATTCTATAGATACATATTTTTTTAATGTAGTATCATATTTTAACTATTATAACACTTCAAAGTCAAAATGTTATTTTTGTCCCCGGTCTCCCCTACTACGTGTTCGAGAAAGTCTATAACGAGATTGTACGGAACTCCTCAATTACGAACGTTCCACAGATTATGACCTAAGTTAATTGTAAATAATTATTCATACATATATAGGAGAGAAATATGTGAGAAGATATCTGACTAGTATATCATGCATGATGTAACATGATTTTACATCATAGTGTCATGTATAAGTAAGAAAAATTCGATCTATTGTGAGAGAATACCTTTTTCTTCTTTTATGTATTCTTTTTATGTATTACATTAAAAAAATAATTTCTATTACTTATATACTAATAGGGATAGGTTCGTTAAATTCTTGAGATTGTTAAGTTATCGTACACGACACATTTAATGGAACGCCCGAAACAAATAAAACAGATGATTAAACGAAGATGCAGTCGATTTAACTGCCACTGATAGAGCGATCTTTCGAAAAAAACATCACCGATCTCAATATTATAAATAGAGCGTTTGGTGTCGTGCTTGTTGTGATCCTTGCTCTCGTTGCCGTCTGCTTATTTTTAGATTATTACGGCCGCACATACATGGATCATGCAGCACGTAGTGCCAAGAGATGCGACAGATCGGCACATCTAGGATGAATAATATTACGTAAGAATCAATCGGCCAAAAATATTCGAAATTGTTCAGCCGCAAAATCTAGAGGTTTTAATTTAGTATTATTAGTAATACATCTTTGTAAATAGTCTTTCGAATGTATCGATATTGCCGGCGTCTTGATCTCGAATGGATCTTCGTTTAAGTATTGTAATAACTGAAAGATGATAGGAAGACGTCTGCATCATGTAACATTAGCGTGTATCATTTTGATCATAAGTACGCTCTGTAAATAGTTCCTTTCTATCTGTCTCTTTCAGATATATAATTAGAGCTCTTAGCATTCTAATTACGCAATCTTTTGCATCAAATTTTAGTTCAACTTGATTTTAATTCGCATTTGTGTACATAATTATACAATATTAAAAGAGAGTCCGACATGAGATGTCATCGAATTGTAATCGTCTAAAAAATCTATTATTAATGTAATATATTTATGTTATTAGTCATTAGCAATTAGTTATTACCAATTAGTTATTAGCAAAATTATTTGATGCAATGGAATGCACGTTCTGAATTGCCAATTTGTGATTACGACGAATTTATCTTGCGCTCCCGCGTGGAATTTCGGTCTATGACCTCGTCAAAGTGAGAATGCTTGAGGGATTCTCGATTAGACCAATTCGACGATACTTCATGCGTTATTATTCCTTCCTACGATCGTTTGTGGAGGCTAAAACGCGATGCCATAGGAACGTGGTTGCGTGTGTAGGAAAATTTTACACAGATACTGATTAGATATAATCATGTAAATGAAGAGATCGAATTGTTAAACTTTGTATAGCAGTAATCTTGTGAATCGCGCGCGTCCAGCGTTCGTTGTAACGAGGATCGAATTGCAAATAAACGGTGTCTCGTATTGGAGATATGCTACCTCAAAGGAAGCGTTCTTATATTTCAATGCGTATAGGTACGTACACGCGGCGAAATTCGCATCACGAGAGAAAATGTAATCGGCGAATTGGATTTTCTTCTCATCATGATAAAATTCTTTAAGATTTCTTCACATAGATATATTCTTATATAATCCGGCATTAAGCAATAATGCAAATGTTCTATTTTAATTAGCGAATAATGTTATTTATGACGATAGCAGTATTAGCAGAAAACGTGCGAGAGCGAGTTGAGTTTCTGCTGATGTGACATCAATTATGTGAACAAAAGCAAATGATACTATGTTATTTTTCACAGATTTGCGTTAAAATAAATCAGTTTTCAGGAGAATTATCCGAGAACATTGATCTCTCTCGCAAAATAAAAAAATTAAATTTTATAAATACATTACATATGTATAATAAAGGATCGATGATTTTTAATTGTTCGTCAATATTTTAAGGGACAGATAAGGTTAACTGCACGTACGTACATATATATTACTTGGTAATATTTTAATACAATGTACTGAAAAAATAATTCTTCCTCTTATATATACGTATTTTGTTAATCTTTCATTCAAGTAATTTCGCTCTTTATAAAAATGAATTATTGAAATAAAAATTTAATTATTATATATTATATAAAAAGAATGCGAATTTCAGCCGCGCGATAAATACGAGCGAGTAACAAATATCGAAATTAAAGAGGATTGTAGAATATATGTGTTATATATATGTACACTTGAATAATTGTGATACTTGGAAATAAGTAGGTACATTTTTGCTGTACATTGCATTTGGTTTCTCTCTCTATCTGTATTACTTCGAAGACAAACCTTTTAATTCAGTCGCATCTAGAAAAACTGGCTAATGATATACCTATAAATAGTAAATAATATTTATTAAGCACTACGATCAAAGATAATTCTATCTGCAATTCTTTACATTCATCTCGATAAAAGTGTATGTATAAATAAGTTTATATATGTATATATATATTTATTCGGTGCCTTCATTAGTGTTAGCTTTTTTTAGTAAAATTATAGTTAATGCTGAAATAAGTTTATGCATTCCTCTCTTCTTCCATTAACAGACTTAAGGATAATTTCTCATAAGGTAAGTGATGTTAAAGCTTTAATATTGTGGATAAATAACGTACAAGATATATTGTAGACGATTATTTGTATTTGTACACAATACTATATAACAAGGAAAATACTGAATGAGAAACAGATGCCTTATTTGGTGTATCACACGGGCGCAAGCCTAAAAATCATGTTGCAATAGAGCATCTCTCTCTCTCTCTTTCTCTCTGTTGACTATATAATTTAATACTCGTTACTCGTAAGGAGAAAAAAACTCTACACAGACTACATTAATGAAACATACATGTATCCTCAGTTTTCCCTCCCGATCCTATTCGAAAACTGCTCTCACATATCGTTTAAACATATACATTACGAGTTACACAAATAATTATTGGAATATTACAGACTATTTTTAATTTATACAATACTTGAATTTTTTACTTGTAATGAGCACGTTATACTCTGCGCATATAAGACACTTGCGTAAATAAGGAGTAATAATTCATGGAAGGAATCACGCGAGTTTACGGTTAATTAAGTAGTAAAAGTAGTACTGGCTCTTCGTCTTGTGCGAATTTCATGTGATTTTTTTAAATTCTTCTTTTGCAATATAAGTGATAGAAAAATATATAGATTATATATACTACGAAAGTTTTCTCCCAATTATATTATACCCATTTGATGCAGTAAAGGCATTCATTGAAATTTTTACTTTCATAATAATCACTTACGCGTTATCGCGTTTGAATCTTTTTATTAAATAATATTCTCGCTCTCTTTCTGCTACTGTTTCTTTCTTCTAAAGAGCATCTTCAAAAGTTCTTTTACTTATACATTTAAAATGTACATATCGAATTAATCGAAATATTCATAAGTAAAAACTCACAAGTATACTACGAGAAAGCTATTAATATTATTACACAATTTTAACGACGTAATATCAATATATTTAAATATTTTAGACTAAGTAATAAACAAAATGAGATACTGCAATCAACAAAAAAAATGTTTTTATATTGTCACGTAATAGAGACTTCGGTCCCAAATGTCTCGTAATTATATAGATTTCAATGTGCAAATATAGAAATCACAGGGGAAAACAAAAATAAATTTTTACATCTTTCATAATATATAGTATTGAAGAACCTCGAGATCCCCAACACAAACACTACTCAAACCCTGAAAACAACTATAAACTATACGTAACAGTACGTGGAAGATTATCCGTAAAGTCTCATATCGTATGCGTCGTTTCAACTTAGTCGATATTAATACTAACGAAAATGCCTACGAAAGCTAAAGATTCTACATATCTGGAACACAATGTATCTATTAGTAGTGAGCAACATTTTGATCAGTAAACGAATTAAATTAATCCAGAATATAGCGGTTTGGTGTCGCGCGCGACTGTAAAGTAAGAGAGAAAACAAAGTATCTAAATTCAACGCTTTGGTGCATAAATATACATCCACCCACGTTAACAGTTGCGTTTTTCCAGAATGAAATATTTCTGTTCTCATATTTTCTTCTCGTCCATAAATAGCCGCCTACGCAATAACTCTAGAATAAATATCTATCACAAAAGGCTGGTCTAATATATGTGTGGCTTTTATAGTTTATAGCAATGTCCTCGCGCGCGTCGCAATGGCCATATTCAGGAAAGGTGCAACACTTGTGCAACAATCGAGTAAATGTTTACTGAATACATGCTATAATGAATGCGTTTCAATGTGTTTAACGCTATAATTTGTTAGCAATTTTCTGATATGTTCAGCATATCGCAAGTCAATTAAGTGAAACTTTAACAGTGGAACATTAACTTGATATTTCAAATTTTAAAACAGATAATATTCATACATCATTCTAGTAAAAAAATTAAATGTAACAAATTTTCGTTTTCGCTTGAATACTACGTGTCCGAAAAATTATCCGCAAGATAGACCTGTACAAGCGTTGCATTTCCAGAAAACGCCGAATGAGCGATACGCGCTATAATACTAGTTTTATAATAGGGTCTTAATCTAATTATTTACATTTTATATCGCTCGATGTTTCTACATCGATTGAACGAGAGTTGCGTCAATAATAAATACGATGACGATGTAAGTGTTTCGCTATCGTTTCTTATGTTGTACTTATGCCGTGACTCGCTGATCCTTATGCAATAATAATGAATACTCCGTTGTGCATTGGACTGTCGGGCGGATCAACGTCCACTATAGGTCACTTTTTTGACAGTGGGACTGATAAGTCCTTGCTCCTCATAATACTATGGCTCGTTAATGTACACGACTTTTGCAGAATATTTATATTCTGGTTTAAAGATTAGCCGCGTTCACGAATACTCACTGCAGAAACGCTACATCCGTTAACTCCGCTTGCTCAACTCGCGTTTTCGTTTCAGACTGCGCTATCGACGTTTTCACTCGCATGTCGCTCGTGATTCGTGTAACGCAAGAGAGGATCGTTTATAGTTCCCATTTCTTCATCGTTATTGGCAGAGTTTATCACGACCTCTTCTGATAGAAATAAGAACATAACGTTATTTGCGATAATCAATAAAAGACATTAATGTTAAACACAAAACCACGTTATAACAAACTGTGGTTTTATGATGGAAATACTAATGTTTTTATAGTCTTTAACAATGTAAAAATTATTTACCGGGCAAACATAATTGTAGCTGATCGTTGCTGGGATTAGTGCTGTCTCCGGTCCCACTGTCTTTACTATGCTGCGAGCTCGTGTCCAGATACAGCTGCGTTTGTACCTCCGGTACGCTTGTTAGTATAACAGTCGTCGTTGGTTGCGTAACGACGTCCTGCGTGGAATTCAATTGCCGTCTGGTTTTGTAAATCACAAGCACCCAAACCACAGAAGTAATGACGGCGCAAATAACCACGGTTATTATTATTATGCCCAGTATCTCGGATTCGTTCAGCGTGGAAACCGGGACTACGTATCAAATAAAAAAAAAATCTGTTCTCATCATTGGAACTTACGTGAGATTTTTTTTCTTGTGTGTGCGTGTGTAATTCTTTTCAATAATAAGATAGCTTATTGTATTTATTAAGTGTGCATCAACTACAGTGCTTTATTCCTACATGCTTTTATATTATTAAACAACAACAAAATAATCTACTACATAAACCCTTTAGTAAAAAATTTTTTAAATCAGACTCCTTTTATTAAAATAAATACGAAAAAATCAGGCCATAGGAGTCAACACGCAAGTTATTAGTAAAGCGAAATTATTCACAGACAATTTTAACCTAGAACGTTTCGACTCTCGGTTTGAGTCATCTTCAGCTAATCAGAGTTAAAAATTATTTAAACTAAAACGAATTCACGCATTGCAACAGTATCACATCGCCAACATTTGAAGCACATCGGACAATGTTCAACAAGTTAGAATGTGAGGCCCTGACGACGACTCCTATGGTCTGATTTTTTCGTATTTATCTTATATTATTATTTGACATTTTCAAGAGTTCTTTAATTATCTATTAATTTTAAAAAAGTTATAAAATGTTTAGACAAGGAGAAACTTAGCGTTGAAATCCTCTCTCTCTCTCTTCAATCGTAATATTAATAATTAAAATTACCTGGCTTGACTGTGAGATGTGATTCGCCGACGACGCTACCCAGTGAATTACTCATCTCGCACTCGTAGGTACCCTCGTCACTGGCGATTGTACTAACGATGATCAAAAGTTGATTTTCCGCAGTGAAGAAATGACGTTCCGTTGTTTGCAGCGGACTACCGTTCTTGCGCCACAATAACTTCGGACGTGGCGAGCCGCTGGCCATGCATTCGAGTACGATCGAGCTACCTATCATTACTTCTTTATTCTCCATCGGTTTTACAAAGGACGGTGTTTCTAAAAAAAAAACTCTTATAAGTATAATATATATAAGAATAATTTTTATATTTTCGAGAAGTGCTTTCGACTAGTTTTCAAAAATGGCATTACTTTTTATAATAGGATCATTACTTAATATTGTAAGAGTAGCGTTTGCAACGATAACACCAGCCAGATTTTGCGCGGTGCACGAATAAACTCCACTATCGGCCATTTTCACGTTTATAATGAATAGTACGTCGTCTGTCGGCATCATATGCATTCGTCTTTCCCTCGCAGCTGGGAAATCATTCCCACCGTCTTTCTGCCAAGCTATTTGTGGGGATGGTTGTCCCTCGGCAGAGCACTCCAAACGGGCGGTGCTTCCAGCAATTACTCGTATATCACGCGGAATTTTGGAGAACGACGGAAAAACTACGAAGAAAAATGTAAAGATTAAAATTTTTATCCAAAAAAAAATAAATCGTTAGTTAATAAAATGTATATACTTCAGTAGCATAGTTAGACAGTGAATATATTCAATTTACCCAATACGCTTAGTTTGGCTTTGGCAGAGTACGTAGTTCCATACGTGTTCGACACCATGCACTGATATTTTCCCGCTTTAGCATGGGAAATGTTAGTAAGATATAAAATGGACGTTGCCTCGGTTACTCCGCTCTCGGAGGAACTGAACTGGGTCTGTAAATTCACGTCACTTAACTCCACATTGTCATGTTTCCAAGTAAAATGAAGCGGTGTATCAGCAGTACTAGTTGCACGACAAATCAATTTCACATCGTCTCCTTTGATGCTCATTTGACTCGCAGGTTCTTCAATAATCCGCGGTTTTGGATATTCATCTATAAATAAATATAACAAAAAGAAAATTTAATTAAAGATATAAAATTATACAAAAATAATGCGCAAAATATAAATTATTCATATATTTATTTAAATGTATAAAATTATTTGTAATGATACTGACCACAAGTAAAATTTGCATAATGTAATTGAGTTAACGACATGCCCTGTAACCAATGCGGATAATCACAGTGCAGCTGAGCTTCACTGTATGGATGTTCTCGCAACCACATACTTAGCCATTGAAGTCCACAGTCGCAAACCAAAGCTCCTACGTGTAAATAAAGAAGATAATTTATACAAAAAGTAGCAAAAATAAATCACATTTATGCTCTTATATATTTGATATATGTATAATGTAAAATTTGAACTTACCAGTATTCATCTTAAGTTTGCTCAGACTAGACATTGAAAGGAACGCATTTTCTTGAATCGACGTAATATTGTTTCCGATTAAGTCAAGCTCGTCAACGTGATTCAGACCAGTAAAAGCATTTTGATTTATGGATTTTATTCTATTGTGCGATAAGCGCAGTTTCACCAACTGACCGAGCGGAGAGAATGCGCCATTGATATCTTCTACCATGTAAGATATCTTATTCGAATTAAGTTCCCTTTAAAACAAAGTAGCGTTTATTATAGTAATACATAGCAAACATTAAAAAATATAAATATTAATAACATACAGGATACGAAGGTTTGTTGTATAATTGAATGCTCCATCCGACACATATGCGATTTGATTATGATCCAGTTTAAGTCTGTCAAGCTTCGTGAGAGATTCGAACGAACCTCGTTCTATAGAAGTCAATTCATTATGTGACAAGTCTCTGGAAATAGATGAGTATCCAAAAATCAATGGAAAATAAGAATAAAAAAATTTATAATCATTCGTATCACATCATTTAATTGTAGTATTTGCAACAAAGAGACAATTTATTTCGTGCAATTATGAAAATATTACTAACAGCTCTACTATTTTTTGGCTCATTTCCCATGCTTGAGGTTCAATCATTGAGATCTGATTGTGTGATAAAGTCAATTTTTTCAAATTCTCTAATCCGAACAAGCCTCCCTTCTTTATAGTAGTCAACATATTAAAGTCGAGGTGTAGTAGTTCTAAATCTTTAAGCGGCCAAAAAGCTCCATCGTCTAACTTATTAATTTTGTTTCTTTTTAGATACAATTCCTTTAGGCTCAACAAACTTTTCAGGCTTAATCCATGTATTTGTTGTAGATTATTTCTATTCACTTCCCTGTAATATTATCACAGACATTATAGATCATACAATACATTGAAGACGTTGCTTTCTTATTATAATATTTCATATGTATAAAAATATTATAAAGATATTTTAAAAATATATAAAATTCTTACAATATTCGCAATTTTCCCAGATTTATGAAAATATCTTTCAGCTGTGTCAAATTGTTTTTGTTCAAGCGAAGTTCCTCCAGTGAAGTAAGATTATCCAAACTTCCATTTTCGATGACTCTTATGTGATTTGCATTTAAATTCCTTCAAATTGAAAAATATTAGATAATGGAATTATAATATATAATGTAATAAATTGTAAGAATAAAATACATACAAATGCGTAAGTCGATTAGGAGCGAGAAAAGAACCCCTTTGAAGGACACTTATTTTATTCCCACTGAGATCCAGATATTGAAGTTGTTGTAAATTAAACAACGCCGTCCCATTTATACTAGTAATTAAGTTGTGGGCTCTATAAAACAAATTACAATGTTGATAATTATCGGTCCATTGCATAAATTCTATTAATGATTTAATAATAACTGCTTATGAAATTATATTAAAAAAACCTTTCCAATTTATACATGCCGAGTACTTACAGTGTAAGATGAGTAATATTCTTAACAAATACAAGGTCTGGCACTTGTGTTAAGCGATTTTTATTTACTCTGAGTTCCCGTAATTGTGTTACGTCTGACAAGGCAATAGTAAAATTATCTCCGAGGAAGTTAGCACTTACATCTCTGAAATTATAGACAAATATGTATATAAATAGTTTTGCCTTTAAATATTAAATATTAAGAAACAGATGTTATAATGCTTACAATTTTTTGAGTTCTGTTAAATGAAGCAATGAATCAAATTCCAAATTAGGAATATTGTTACTCTTTAATTCTCTGAAAAATAAGCATAACATATATATATATATATACACACACATAAACACATACATATGTATATATTTAGAATACGAAGATGTATAAAAAAAATTTATATAATGTGTTAACATGGAGTCTAATAGATGAAAGAAGTTCATATAAGTTTATGTCCAAAAATTCTTTATTGAAGAATTGTAAACGTTCAAAAACTCACAAGCAGAATTGTTCTGATAACTCGTTAGACGGAACTGTTAACTCAGAAAAAACTGACAGTTATTGTTTATATGTATATCTTGACTTACAAGTGTCTTTAAACTCTAAACAGTATCTTTATGAGAAACTGATGCAAATAGAAGACTAATTTTGAGTATATGACATTGAGTTTGACATTCTTTTAAAAGGAAAAAATTTCAAACTGTTGCGACTACTGTAACAATTTATAAAATTCGTTTGTATGAATCAAGATATATAATTAATAACTGAGAGTCATTTATTTCTGAGTCAGACTATGGCACACAAAAAATATAAAGTAGTAAAACATAAGTAGTAAGCTGAGTAAGCGAATCAGCCAGTCACAAGAGACATAAAGTAATAACGTAAGCAACAGCAAAATGTTAATTTGCTTACTTCTGACATCTTACTGCTTAAGTTTTTTTGTATCTTAATTTTGTCTAACAAATTATAAAAATAATTCTGCTTATAAATTTTTGCTAATTAATGACTCTTTAATAAAGCATTTTCGGATATAAATTCATATGAAGTTTTCTAATCTACTCAATCTCATTTACACCCTGCATAAATTTCGTTCTAATCTTAACAAACACCTTGTATATTATCTTAAAATATAATATGAATAATAGGTCTCTGCTTTTAGATTTCTTATAAGATATTATATAATAATATTCACGAACATTAATGTATAGTCCGATAAACTTAAGCTATTTCAACATTATATAATGATAAATTATGCAACATAAATATATATATATATATACATATATATATGTATATATAAGAATTATTGCACAAGTCTGTACAAAGAATACATTCAGCTTAAGATCTTTCTTCTTATTTAGACACACCTTTCAGAAAACAGAAATGTTGTAACTATATAACTATATATTTTAATACCTTAAATAGCATAGCATGAATTCTTAGACACGAATTCTTCTTCCCTACTTAGATCTTGTTATCCTTGATTCTGAGCATTGGAGGACTTAATAATCAGTCATTCTCACACATAGCACCCTATATGGCTATAGAAACCTGGCCATGTATTTCTATAGAGCCAGTTTCATCAATCTGACCATTTAGTGAAGGGACAAGCAACCCACATGCAGCCATAATAACCAATATTACTTCCCCTCGATTTGACTTCCAAATAATATAGTATAATAACAGTTATCATCCAATAAATAATAAATTGCTACATAATAGTCACTGCTTGTGAACTTTTATTTGAGACACAAACAAGAAGATTGTTAATCAACATCTTTATATAAATTACCATATTTTGCCATTAAATTATTTTATTAGAAATTGTTACTGTTTTAAAATAAAAATTACATTTATACTTTAGTTCCTCTTTTAATTTCAATAATTTAATAATTTAATTAATATTTAATTAATATATATTGTTATTTAACAAATTACAGGTAAGACAAGAAACAATTTCTTTAAACATTAAATTAAATCTAGTTTTTGTTGAACAGCTTAAAATAGGATTTATTAATTATGTTAACGAATATTATAATTTCTAATTTTTATATTACAATA